CTGACACCATGTCGTTCGCTTTCGGTTTCGGTTTCGATTTCAATTTCGGTTTCGTTCTTCTTCGATCGATAAATTGTATCAGAAGATATTGATTTCTGATTTTTGGCAGAACTGCGTGGGCTTTCACACATACCTTTTTCAAAAAAAAAAAAAAAAATACTAAATAAATTTAATCAGTGTCAAAATATAAATTTTTAATAAATTGTAGCAATTAAATTCATAAACAAAACAACATTTGGCATGAATCACTTGTACTAAAAGCATTTTTGATAATTTACAAGTCGAGAAAAAAAATTAAACACAAATTAAGTAAATTTTTTTATTTTTTTTTAAAAATTTAAAAATTCATTGTCATTCATGTGCAATGCAAAAAAATGTACATATTATTAGAATGAATTCATTTAAAATTAATATGCATGTATTTTAAGCTCAATGAGAACATACCTTAAAAATGCAAAAATTCTTCAAATTGAAGGTGCAATAAGTGCATTTCCTTATATGTAAACATACACATACCAATGTCATTCATTTATCATCCTACAAGATTTCCTATATCAGCAAAAAAAAAAACTAACATCTTTATCTTACAGTAAACATATATGGTGATTATATTCTATTATATATCTCAATGGTTTTGATAGAAGTTATCATGATAATGAAAAAGAAACATCTGCAAATTCTCCTTTCTAAAATACTGAATAAAAATCATAGCAAATCAATCTATGATAAGAGGAATATTACTTACTAACTTAACTAGTTCTAAAAAGTCGTTGCCGAGTTTCGAACTTACGCAACTTTTGACTGTAGTCGTCTCTGCTTCATGCGCTCTTTCTTTAGTCTTCGTAATTAAAGCGTAGTTCTCTCTCAATCTGATCGCTTCTAAGAAGTCACGTTATCATGTGACATACGATAAACATTGCATTGTCGTGATAAAATAAAATCTTTTCGTTTTAAAAAGTCGAAAGTACTATTTCGCAATTATCTTGGATAATACGAAATTATCTACGTCTTCCTTGGAACATATTCATCATGTAAAATCCAATCTTTTGATTTTTTTCTTTTTTAAGATAGTAAAATATCCAAATCTTATCTATATTTACAAATCGTTTCAGAAGCTCTTTTGGATTGTATTGAAAAATTTGAAAATTCTGCTTAAAAGTAATTACATGACTATATGTTTTCGGTCCAATGACAAGAAATGCGACACCTATCTTGGTGAGAACTTTTTCATGCGAAAATGCTCTTGTAAATTATTATTATTATTATTATTATTATTATTATTATTATTACACTTGATATTGTTTCAGTAATATAGTAGTCAACTAATTTTTAATACCAGATAACGGCTTTGATTCATTACATTCGTAATTGTTACCTCATTTGTGCGTTCGTGCAACACAGCATCTTTGGAACTTATATTACCATAACTACTTTTCTGACATTTCATATAATGTTGAAGTGTATATAGCTTGTCAAATTTTATTTATTTAGAAAAAAATTTTTTTTCTAATAGTTGTGCTTAATTTCCACATTAATTTGTCGTTTCTCTATTTTTGCAAATTCACCAAAGTTTGGCTTCACATACCTAAGAAATAATCTATAGTCAAATTTTTAATATTTTTAGTACAGCTATTATCGTCTAAAAAGTATCTCCGTACCTTAGTATATGATTTTAATAATGAATGTTCTCAGTTCTGGGCATCTCGTATCCTCAGGGCACAATACAATTCAAAGATCTCAATCAAATGTAATTATACAATACAAACCAATCTATTTCATTATACTTTGCTATACAGAGTATAAAATCAGTTTTTCAAAATAAATGTATGGTGCATAATACCTCACTAAAAGAGGAATAGAAATCTCTACTCTCATAAATAATAAAACACAAAATAAACTTTTTTTTAAATTCATTGAAGACCTCTTTTGACACTTAATAGAATAACACAATTTTTAATAATTTTTTTACTTATACTTGCTATTAAATATTATACCTTATCAGCTAATCAAAATTTAGAAATAATGTTTCTCTCTTTATATAAAATCATATATAATTCACACATCATATGAATTAATGATAATAGACAAACAAAAAAATTCTCAAAAATTGTATCTTATGTATGAATATATGTATGAATGATAAAAAATGTAAAACCATAAACTATAAGAAATATTTGACTAAGTTAAGAAGGCAATAATTTTATGTGAAATATAAAAAGTGTCATAAAATTTGAGCTCATGATTACTAGAATTTACGATTTTTTAACAAAGGCCCAAATTGTCTAAACAAGGCTTTTATTAAAAAACCGCTTAGTAATAAGAATAGAATATTTTTTTTAATTTAAATAAATGTTTTTTAAAAATTCCTTGAATTCATATTGGTTATAAATTATTGTTTCAAATATAAACAGGTAAAAAGCGAATTAAATTACTTCATACTTCTTTAAACAAGATTTTTTTTAAATTTAATCAAATTGTTTTAATATATAAAAATGATAAAAACTCTTATGTTGTTATTTGTTTATTTTCTACACTCGTAAAACCAAGTTAAAGAAATATATTTTTATCTGTAAGGAAAAGATAAATGCATACTTAAGTACTATTGAGTCTCTTCTTTAGATTAGAATTTAATTGCAACATTTCTGGCAATTGTTATGTTATGAAGTAGCCTTTTATCACTTTAATTATTTTAGATATAAGTATAACTTTAGCCTCAGTTAAAGTGGCTACATAAATAAAATATCAAAGTACCAGCTTTTTGTTATGGTCTGTCTATAATCTGAAAACGATTGAACAAATACTTAGCCTTACTCGCGATTCACAAGTAGATATGCCGTTTAATTAGGAACTTCATCCATTGATTAATATCACAGCCATGAGTCAAAAAAAGATGAGGAAACTATTACTTACTTATTCTATTACTTTTGAGTATTCACAAAGAGATGTATATGTACACTGAAGCAACGCTTCCTCAAATGTGTGTTTACTAATACCAATATTGGCATTACAGATATTGACACAACATAGTAATTTCCTGATCCTACGTAGAAGTATCATTATCTAGTTCAGTCAGTGTGGTATCAATTGTCTATCAATTGTCAACTCTTCCTCAAATATGTGTTTACTAACATCAATACAGATTACATTACAAATATTGATATAGTGATTTCCTGGTTCTACGTAGGCGTATCCTTATCTAGTTTAATCAGTGTGGTATCATTGGGGTTTACATTGAGCTGTCTTTCAGAATGTAAATAAGTCGTGGCTTTAATCAAAATGGTTGGAATTACCAACTATCTACGTTGTTAAGCCACATAACGATAATAAATTTAAAGTATTTGTTAAAAATAATTTAAATATCTTAAATAAATAAAAAATAAATTTCAAATAATTTTAAAACTTTAACTGCAAAAAAATATATTAAACAAATAAATTGAAATAAACGTTATGAATATCCACTAAATGCAGTAAACTATGTGAAAACTGTTATAATAACTAATTTGAATCCTCAATTTTACCCAGGTGTGGCATG